TCAGCAACAGCAAGTGCAGCAGCAACAGCAGCTGCAGCATCAGCAACAGCAAGTGCAGCAGCAACAGCAGTTGCAGCATCAGCAACAGCAAGTGCATCAGCAACAGCAGCCGCAGCAGCAACAGCAGCTACAGCAGCAACAGCAAGTGCAGCAGCAACAGCGGCTGCAGCAGCAGCAGCAGCAGCAACAGCAACTGCAGCATCGGCAACAGCAGCTGCCGCAGCAACAGCAGTTGCGGCATCAGCAACAGCAGCTGCAGCAGCAACAGCAGCTACAGCAGCAACAGCAGTTGCAGCATCAGCAACAGCAGCTGCAACAGCAACAGCAGCTGCAGCGGCAACAGCAGCTGCAACAGCAACAGCAGCTGCAGCAGCAACAGCGGCTGCAACAGCAACAGCAGCTGCAGCAACAGCAGCAGCTGCAACAGCAACAGCAGCTGCAACAGCAACAGCAGCTGCAGCAGCAACAGCAGCTGCAACAGCAACAGCAGCTGCAACTGATGCAGCAGCAGCAGCTGATGCAGCAGCAGCAGCTGCTGCAGGCGCAGCTGCAGCATCTCGAGGAGCAGCTAAGGCAGCTGCAGCAGCAGCAAAATCTCCAACAGCAGCAACAAATGCCGCGGACCCTTCCGGGCGTCCGGCCTCCGCCAGGGTTTGGGCCACCCCCACAACCACCGCATCAGCAGCAGCAGCAGCAGCAGCAGNGCATCATCCTTCTTCTTCTGGTCTTCACCCGCTGCAGCATTATCATTCTGATCATCATCAGCAGCAGCAGCAGCAGCCGCCGCAACAGCACCATTCTCACTTTCATCATCCTTCTCATCCTCATCGGCAGCAACAGCAGCAGCAGCATCAGCAACAGCAATATCAGCCTGGGTATAAAGCTACACCGTGGGGAGTACCGTCTGCTGCTGGCGATGCTGCTGGTGACGGAGACAGTCTGTCGGGTGTCTCCTCACGTGTGCCTTCTTCTTCTTCTAGAGCAGTATCAAGTGCCCGGTTTGCTGCCGCTGCTGCTGCTGCATCTTCTTATTCTCCTTTTACTGTTACAGCACCACGCCGGCGTATCCCTTCTGCTGATTCTCTTCACTCTCCTCGCCCTCTCGGCCCATCTCCACAACCCCGCCCAGAAGCAGCAGCAGCCGGAGCAGCAGCAGCAGCACCAGCAGCAGGAAGACCCTGGAGAAGCGTCTCCTCCTTCAATTTAAGTGCAGCACCAGGCAGCAGCCGCACCCCCACACTTTTCAGGGGTGTAGAAAGCGGAATGCCAAAGCCAGAACCTTTCTCTGCTGCTCCTGGAGAGCAGCCGCAGCAGCAGCAGCAGCTGCTGCAGCGCCCAGTTTTCACCGGTGTAGAAAGCGGAATGCCTAGGCTTACGTCAACGCCACAACCC